GCAGCTTTAATAGTAATAGCTATTAGAACCTAGAAATAACCTAGATTTCATTCAACTGAAAACTGTATTTTTAAAAAAAAAAAATGTGGTACATTTACACAGTGGACTATTGCTCAGCTCTTAAAAACAATAACATCATGAAATTCCAAGGCAAATTATGGAACTAGAAAATATCATCCTGAGTCAGGTATCTCAGACCTAGAAAAATAAACATTGTATGTACATGTAAAGAAAAGGATAACATGCTACAATCCATAGACCCAGATAGGCTGGTTAATAGGAAGGGCCCAAGGGGGACACTCCATTCTCCCTGGAAAGAGGAACTAGAAGAGATTTTGTGGATGGATTGAGGGTGGGTGAGGAATACATGCTAACTCCTATGACTCGGTAAAATATAAATAATTATATTTTATAAAATTGAGAAAAGCAAGCCTTAAGGATGGCTAAGGAATTTTCTGCCAAATCTAACAACTGGAGTTCAATGTTCAGAACCCACGCACATAGTGAAAGGAGAGACCTGAATCCTGTAAGATGTGACAATCCTCTGATTGTCACATATACACCATGACTCATGTGTATGTGCCTAAACACATGCATGCACATACATACAGAAAACCAATAAATAAATAAATACAATAAAATTATTTTATGGGTGAAGGACTTCATTGTAGTTTTTTAAAGATGCACAGCATCATTATTTATTTAGGAAATCTAATTCAAACCACAGTGAGATTCCACTTGAACACAGACATATATTAAATGAAAACAAGTCAATCCACTGCTTCAAGATTTGCTTATAACTCTTCTCACATATGCTTATCTGTGCCACTCTATTTACATACATAACACCTACTTGTGTATGCATTTGTGTTACTGATGTGTCCTGTGCATCTATGTGACTACACAGAGAAAACATTTTCTATTTAACAGAAGTATGTGGTATATGCCTACAAGAAAATTTTTGTTTTAATTTTTTGGGTATCCTTACAGAATTCATATGTTGCCTGGCATATAACTGACTCATAAACATTGATAAACTTGTTTTACACTCCAATTTTCACAATTTTTCTTGATATTTAAACTGTTATAAAAATTTCTACTAATATTTTCAAATTACCTGAGTATTACCTTAACAAGGCCCATGAGTCTTGTTATGAAAGGTTTTATGACCCTTTGGCTGAAAACATTTTCTAATTTTATTGTGTTTCTGTGGCAAGGACATGGGTTATTAAAGTATCTTTCAAATTCTATCCAGTGGGAATTTTCCTGTCATCTAGTTGAGTCCACCCTATTTCCAAGCACATATTAATATCTTTTTAATGGAACTAAGGTTTTGAAATTAGCTTAATGTTCAAACATACAATTTTCATTATCTTTGTATGCATATTCTCTGCCTGTTAAAAATGAAGCTATTCAATTGTGTTACTCATTTACTTACAACATGGCAGAATTCAAGTATTTTGATAATGCCTTCTATACTATTTGTTCTATACCATTAGTAAATTTTCAATTAACATATTAAGAGAAAGTCTAGTGTTTCATGCCTAAAATCCCAGCACTTTTGTGGTGTTTTAGGTATAAGGAACCTGAGTTTGGTGACAGCCTGGACTGCACAGCAAATTTGAAGTAACACTCTCAGCAGTCCTCTGAAATGATTGATGAAATGCAATAAAATTATAAGGAACCAAAATTATAGTTATTTTCCTTAGACCCTTTCTAGCAATTGTATTAAATTAAGCATTTGCAGATTTTAGATGTACAAATCAGTGTTGGGGACTATTTCCAACATTTTAGAGATGTTATTCAAATGCTAAAGGAACAAGTGATTTTCATTTTCTAATAGGTTGTGATTTCACAGTTTATATTAATTTACATCAAATTAAAGCAACAGGTAAGTTTGTATTATAATTGTTATTTTCTACTCCAAAACCAGACTTCTTGCATGCCCAAAATTGACTTCATCATTCTTTATGCTATTTTTAGATGGTGCACTTCTAACAAACAATGATGCTTCACGAGTTGTAATTTGTTTTAGCTGTGATATATGTTAATGGTGTACTTAGTATTCTCAATAAAAAGGTAGACTTTTAAGCCCAAAGCCTTAACTGACTGTCAGCCAAAGTTCTGAAGTCAGTTGCTATGGTGATTTTTTTTAAATTGTTTCTTCCTATTCTTCCTGATCTAATTAGAACATCAAAGTTTATAGCATATGTGGGATAGTAACAGCACTCATAATTCCTTCAGCAGGTTCTAGCTACTCTGTAATTAAAACATAACATTTAAGACCAGTAGACTGGGGACACATTAGAATGTTTATACTGTAAAACAGAAGCAAGCAAAGCTACAGAAAAAGGGATTCTGTAATTAGAATCAGGTCAAATATGTTTACTTTTTGTTGGCCATTTGTACTAAGGAGTTGAAAACAATTTCCCTTTTCCTGTGTGGTCTCTGCAATAAATTTAATTTACATGCTTCTATGTTCTGATATACACAGGACTACTAAAATATCAAGGCATTTAGTAAAGTGATCACCCCAAAACATATTCTGAAAAGCAGGCATAATATATCTTGCCTATAATCTCAGCACTTAAGAGGTAAAAGAATGAGGATCACAAGTTCTAAGTCAGTCTCAGCTACACAGTAACCCTGAGGACAGTTTGGTTCCATGAAATTGTATTTGAAGAGAGCCAACAAATCTAGTGTAGGTTATCTCAGCTGTTCTGAGTGTAAGAGGGAAGAAGGGAAAGAAGGGAAGAAGAGAGGGAAATACAGGTGATGAAAAGGGGAGAAGAAATGAGAAGAGAGAAGTGAAAACCTTTAGAAAGGATTCCCCGCCTCCATGGATGTTTCATATAAAAGAATATTCAAGAGAGAAAGTTTCAACATGTGTATAGCATATTATTGAATTTCATAAGTAGCAAAATCCTAAAATATTAATATTAATATTATAGCATGTATTCAATTAGGAACAGTTTATTCAGTAGTAAATTGATTTTTTGAATACTGAAAATACATAAAATTATATCTTTTAAAATGACAAAGGCTATATTACAAGTCATTTTCAAAAACATATCTGCACTATTTAAATAATTATTTGATTAATTAGCATGTTATTCATCCTAATTAAAGAAAATATATCATCATTTGATACAAAATTTAACTGAAATTCAGTATATTCAAGGATAGATATAAATATTAATAGTTACATATTAATAAACACAGCATTTATGGTTACCCAAATGTTTTGTTTGGTTTATACACATATATGTTTCTTTTTACATGTTCAAGTAGCAAATATCTATGTAACATAAACAAAAATTCTACACCAATAATTAGAGGGAGAGAGAGAGAGAGGGGGAGAGAGAGAGAGAGAGAGAGAGAGAGAGAGAGAGAGAGAGAGAGAGAAATGTATGAGCATAGTGTATGTACATGTTCATGTGGGTGTGTACACATGTGCAGAAGTGTGCCTGAGTACATGAGTGGAGAGGCTGGAAGTCAATGCTAGGCATCTTCCTCAATCACTCTTTACCACATTTTTTCAATAGAGGGTTTCTCATCTCATCGAGCCCGGTGCTCACTATCAGGTTAGGCTGGCTGAGCAATGAGCTCCAAGGGTCCACTTGCCTCCACCATCTAGTACTGGTTACTGGACCTGTGCTATTTTCCAGTTATTTTACATGTATGCTGGGGATCCAAACTCAGGTCCTCATGTTTGCATGGCATACACTTGATAAACCAGGCAATCTCCCAGCTCAATAGCTTCTCCAAAAGAATCAGTTTTTAATATTCTTGGTTGGTAACTTTAGCAGAGAGACAATGGATCATAAATCAAAGTACTCAGGTGTTTAGTGATCGATCCGCAGTCAGCAATGCCAAGGTTTTCTTTATTCAGATATACCAGCCAAGCACAAGCCAAAGGCAGCCAGGCCAGAGAGAGGAGAAGGGAGCAGGGAAAAGAGGATCTCCATTGTGCGAGGTCCCTTAAGAACCCTTCCCGGGTCACCTTAGACTTCCCCTCACCACGCCCTTACGGGCGTGTCCCAGCACACCTGTCCGGGCTACTAGGAGGCGGGACTACAGTGTCTCCCTACACTCAGATACCAGTACCAACTTAGTATCAGTTGTATTAATTTTGATGAAACATAAACTAGTCTCGTAGGTAGCTTCACCTATAATAAGCACTAGTAATATTTGTTTCATTGTCCTTTAAGGGTTTCAATAAAGATCAAGTAGAAATGAATAAATAAAGGATTTAAACATTAAAAGTTTTATGCAAGTATCAGTTCTCATACTAACGTTGCTATTGAAAGTACCTTTAGTTTCAAGAAGTAAACAATACCTAAGTATAGCCTTCCAGCTCAGAACTGATAACAGTAGAATGACTCATCAACCTTCATTTTGACGATCGTACTCACCTCATTTACAGTGAAATGAAGCAAACTTTTTGTGCCACACGATGTTGCAGGATTACCTGAATGAGTACATGCAGCCCATTTAGCTAAGGGCTTTTTAATAGGTACTGTCTAGTATGAGTTGAACCCAAACAACAGCTCTACAGAGTTAATCTGCATCTATTAGGATAGAACACTTTGTTATTTTAATACATTTTCAGATTTTAAGAGCATTGTTTTGCTTTTTATAAACATATCATCCATGATTAGCCATGTAAATAAATGTCAGCCTTTTAAAATTAAAGTGGACATGCTTATCAATCCACATAAATTGACTTTGATGGGCGCTTAGCTTGTTTTCCAACCAAACTGTTTCATATGGTAAATAACTATTTCCCTACCTAATTTCCAATTTAACTCCAATTACCTTATATCTTCATGCAAAAAATAATCCATTCATCAGTTTCCCATAAGTTGTGTTCAAAACTTATGGGAAGGGGAAAGGAGACCACTTATATAGTTAAAACACTATGACTGATTTGCACTGAGGTTTACTTTATGTTTCAATCATGAACAGCAGGTAAGGCCCTGAAAAACACTTTCACTTACCACAGATGAACATGGACTCATCTGAATTATCTGCACAGTCATTCACAAAGTCACACAGCTTGTCCTTTAAAATGCAGTGCTTGTTTGCACACATGAACTCATCGGCAGTGCACTTTCTGTTTGTGTTAAGCAATGGGGCACAGTCTTGAAAGGAAATGTCATCTACTGCCACATCTCCTATGTAGCTGATACCACGTTTTGCCCTAAAGACAATCTAAAGAGATAAATGAATAAGAAAATCCAATTACCATCATGTTGTAAAGAAGTCCAGAACACAAACATCCAGATTGACTTTCATAACAAATACCCCAAATGAAAGTGACCTCCATAATGATAATGGCTCAAAAAGACTGAGCATCATTAGAGTCTGTACTATACTCAGTGCCTGAGAATATGAGAGAAGCAATACTACTGCCCAATACACGTATAGTTAGCATATAGTCTGTAGACTCCAGATAGGAGCCATGTACCCACTTCTGCTCCCTGTGCTGGCTCTCAAATCCTAAACAAGACTATTTTCTTCTTAGATACACAGATATACACACAGACACACAGACACACACACACACACACACACACACACACACACACACATGACGTGTGTGCATGAGAGTGTGTGTGCATGATTGCCATGGTTATTAAAATAAAACATTGGTTTAAAATGGGGTTCTCTCAGTGTGTAGGTCATGAGTTACATACTTTGATCTTTCTAAGTCTAAAGAGAAAGTAAACATGAGAATGAAGAATCATGAACAATATGTTTGCTCATGACTGTATCTTCTCAATGTATGTAGCACAGTGGATGCTCAATGCATTGTTACTGATGTAATGGGTAAATCATAAGGAAAAGCAAACGTTTACATGCTATCCATACTTCTAAGATTCAATCAATATGAACAGAATTTTTAGCCAAATTTTGATATATGACATTTGAGTCTTAGAAAAAACTAAATTCATAAGTGTTTGACATGCTTAAATCGCACTTAAAATTATTTTGAACATAATTTCTCCATATCAACATTCTATACATAGAACTGGTAAAGAATTTGCTTCCTAGTATGAAAATCTATGTCTGATAGGAGCATCCCCATTTAAATATTCTCACTGAGATATTTTGTCTCCATTGAATGTCCATATAAGTTGAGAATCTATCTTCCTTCTAATGATGTCTTATAACATGGGAAACCATTAATTTATTCTCAGTCCTTTATTTCGTAAGTTGAACTTCCTGCCCATATACTAAACTAAGTCCATATGCTTAATAAGAAAACTAGAGAGTAAAATAGAGGGCAAGAAATATATGGCATTTATTCCACATGACATTCCAGGAAACTGGGCACAGTGAAGTATCAAGCCCTTATACATATAGATCAGGTAGAGCTGCCATTGTTGAAAGAGGCTGGCATATCACAAGAAGGATCATAGAGGTATCTGCTATCTATTCACAACAACAAAGCCTACTTGTGCTATACAAACAAGAGAGTAAAGGCAATATTTAATAATGATCTTATCATTTGAGTATTTTCAAATTCACAGACCTCAACTCCACATAAGACAAAGAAGCAAACATTCTCCTACATGAGGAGAATGAGGCTGCTGCTCCATTTATCTTAATAGCCAAGATTCCCAAACAAACTACAGATATCCCGATTCTTGATAAGCTCCCCCATGAAAACAAATACCAAGTATCATCACATTGTGATATCCATTTTAACACTGTAGTATTTGTACTACCTGAAATTTTCTTTAGTTGTTGGATATGTATTATTTTATATATAATAAAATCTAAAGACATATACACCATCATATGCTAATGTTCTTCTGACATATTTAATTACACAAATCTATTCAGTACAAGAAGGTTCAACCATTAAATGAAGTTTCAAAGATGGCTTTTGCAGTTACCTTTACAAAACCTGTATTATAATCTCTGACAGTCAAATCTCAGAATTGGGGGAGGTGTTCTTTCAATGTGAGAAGCTTGCTGAGAATATAAGACTATTATCACTCAAATTAAGTGTACCTAGAAGTGTAACTGTCTAATTGGGAAAAAATTATGGCTTTCTAAAATAGTAAATTTTTTATGGAAAATGCCATATGGGGTGTTAAATGTTCTGCATTCACACAGCACATTGAGTTGGGAATGGGAAGAGATGAGGATAATGAGAGAAAGAAAGAAATTAGTATTCAAGACAAAAATTAACAAAGCTCCATCTCCACAAAATCCCTTGGGTTACAAACCTCTGCATATGAGTGGATGCCTAAGAATACTTCCACTTTCTTCCACTGTGGGCCTTGCTGGCCACTCTGAGCCCACACTTTGGAGGTAGCATTGCCCTTTTTGATGAGTACCTGCAGAGATAAATTAAGTAATAGGTTTTTAAATATTTACTTTTTAAACACATGGAATTTTTAGGTTTTTAATACCTATATGTAGTCCCTAGGAGAAAAATACAAGACATTTTTCATTAGATATCTTTGTGTTCTTTTATGATCACAAAGCACCATGTGCCATAGGGTATCTCAAAAGCTCTGTATGATGCTGTGATAAAGATATGCATAACTATATGTCAGTCAAGGCCTAACATATCCAGGCACCATTTCATTAAGAATTCAACTCTACTGGCTTTATGAAAAGTGTGGTAGCAGCAGCAGCTGATATTTTATATATTAAGCAATTTACAAATGATTGAAAGGGAAAGTATTAAATTACTTGGTAGGACATTCTTTTGAGAATGGCTTCTTCAGCCAATTCATTTTAGCAGACATTTATGTCATAATATGAGCCCATCACAGCAGCATAGGTGAGTGATAGTGCAAATACTAGCCACACTGTATGCTCCCTGCTCGAGGGTCTTGAAATAAACAAAGGTCTATTGTACTTGATATAGTTTGTACTTTAGTGTCTCTTAAAGGTCTGTATGAAATGGGTTGGTTCATAAATGGTTTCACTTGGAAGGAGTGAAATCTTTGAGGGTAATCCTAGTAGTGCCTTTTAGGTCACTGAGTTTGTGGCCTTAATGAAGATCATAGGACTCAGTACCATTTTCTCTCTTTCTCTTTTCTGTGGATTTGCTCCACAGTGAATTCTTTCCATGGCATGTTGCCTTACCACAAGCCCCCAAAGCACTGAAGCTAGTCAAGGAGACTACAGACTTCAAAGACAACACCAAATAAACCTTTCCTTCCTCTTTATAGGTGAACTGAAGTCTTTATTACAGGGCTAGCATAGTACTGTACTCACTGTGATTGAATCCTTAGATTACTTTTATTAGGAAGTTGTAATCCTTGTGAGTCTTCACTTAGAATGATGCAAAATAAGCCTCCAAAAGTATAACTTAACATATATGCTACTGAACATCTGTGATTCTAGTACTTAGGAGACTAAGGCAGGCAGATCACAAAGGCAAAGCAAACCCAAACTATGGGAAATGTTTGAGGCTACCATGGACAAAACAGTGTGAGGATTCATCTAAAAACAAAAGTGAAAACACACACACACACACACAATGAGAGGGAGTAAGAGAGAGGAAGAAAGAAAGAAAGAAAGAAAGAAAGAAAGAAAGAAAGAAAGAAAGAAAGAAAGAAAGAAAGATTATTAGGAACAGTGGTGATACAATTCTTCTGTTAAAATCACTAAGATGCTTCATTTTATAACATTATTTTTGGGGGTGGTTGGAGACAGGGTTTCTCTGTAGCTTTGGAGGCTGTCCTGGAACTCACTCTGTAGACCAGGATGGCCTTGAAGTCACAGAGATCTGCCTGCCCTTGCCTCCCCAGTGCTGGGATTAAAGACATGCAACACCACTGTCAAACATAGCATTATGTGTGTAATTTTTACAACACAACAAATATTTCAATCGATAAATTTTAGAAATTTTAGAAATCTATAAAATTTTAGAAAACTTTTAGAAAAGAAACAGGCTCATGAGATAATTAAAAGAAAAAAGTGCTTGATCCACAGATGACAACCACATTTCAATTGCCACTGTCCAGAGCAGAAAGAGATAGAAAAGGCCTGAAAGTTGTCCTCTGATGTCCACATACATGTACTTGCACTCACATACCATACACACAAAAAATAATAATAGATAAAAGATATAATTTAAATCTACATTTAAGGGTTTTGTTCTTTCTAAATAAATTCACATAAATTTAATTTACACAAGTAGAGTTATCACAGTAAATTATTGCCAGAAAATAAATAGTATCAAATTCTTGGTCTGTGAATATTTATCTAATTCAGAATGTTAAAAGAATGCTCAGGATGATCTTTGTATGATTGCTACATATATAGAAGGATTACCAACTATGGAAAAATCTCTAAGTGATATACTAATAACAAAATATTTAATGTCATTTTGTATAATCATGAACAAATATAAAGAGCATAGGCAGTAGTGCTTAACTATTTGGTAATTGGTTACTTATTAATTACTACTATGGAATATACTGAGTTGATCATGTTTAAGATACTAATGAAAACACTAAGTAAATTATAGTGAATATTGTAATGACGTGTGTGTTTGTATGTGTGTGCATACATGTGCATACACACTCCTATCTTTCATGTCCACCTTTGTTTTGGGATTTTTGTTTTGTTTTGTTTTTGATACAAGGTCTCTCACTGAACCCAAAGTTCATGGATTTAACTAAATTGGCTGGCAAAGTCCAAAGCTGGTGCTATAGGAGAGTTGCTGAATATGGGTGTTCTATACGTCTTCTAGGGATCTGAGGTCAATTCCTTCTGCCTCCATGACATAAATTTTGTCCACTGGGAATTGACACAACCCCCCCAAACAGTGTTAATACCAATGTCAAACAAGTGTAAATCATAACTTCCTAAGATTGTTTAGGAAGTTTTAGGTTATTAAACAAATGCATTACTAAATATATGCACACAAATACACTTTCTTTTTAAAAATTTATTTAACTTAGAAAAAAATCTTATTTTACGTATCAATCCCAGTTCCCTCTACCTCTCATCCTCCCATGCTCCCCACTGACTCCCCAATTCCACCCCCATCCACTCCCTAGGGAGAGTGAGGCTTTCCATGGATGATCATCAAAGTCTGTCATATCATTTGGGGGAGTTCAAACTTGTGCAGCCACTTTGGAAGTCAGTATGATGATTTCTCAAGAAAATGGGAATCAGTTTGCATCAAGATCCAGCAACTCCACTCTCAGGCATATAACCAAGGGATGCAGATTTGTACAACAAGAACATCTGTTCAACTATGTTCATAGCGGCATTGTTTGTAATACACGAATACACTTTCAAATAATGTTGACTAGAAGACTAATCTGCCATAAGACAAGGTGAGCCTTACAAAGATAATCTTGTAATTTTTCTATTATAAAAAAACCTAGATACCCTTTAACTGAAGAATGGATAGAGAAAATGTGGTACTTTTACACAATGGAGTACTATTCAGTGGAAAAAAACAGTGAAATCTTGAAATTCACAGGCAAATGGATGGAACTAGAAGAAACCATTCTGTGCAAGGTAACCCAGTCATAAAAAGACAAAGAGGGTATGTACTCATTCACATATGGATTTTAGACATAGAGCAAAGGATTACCAGTCTACAATCCACACTGCCAGAGAAGCTAGGAAACAAGGAGGACTCTAAGAGAGACATACTTGGTCCCTGTCAAAGGGGAAAGGACATGATCTTCTGAGCAAATTGGAAACATGAGGGGGGTGGAGAGGGAACTAGAAGAATGAGAAAGGGAAAAGAGGAGGGGGTGATGAGGGAGCAGGAAGTTTGAGTTGGGGGAAGAATAGAGGAGAGCAAGATAAGAGATACCATAATACAGGGAGCCATTATAGGTTTAAAGAGAAATTAGGTGCTAAGGAAATGTATGTAGATCTACAATGATGACACCATGTTACATTAAATCTTTCTGCCAAAAGCCACCGAGCTCCACTGTCACGTTTGGACTTTACGCCAGCCTCCTGCCTGAGTTAGGGCCCAAATTAATACACAGAAACTTGTATGAGGCTCAAATGCTGCTTGGCAATGACTAGGATTCTCATCTGTTAGGTCAGTCTTAATTTTGATAAATCTATATATTTTATAAGACTTATCTTATCGGACACCTTCCATTGGTGTCCCTCCTTGCTGGTGGATCACATTGTGCCACAGGAGGAAGAGCAGAGGGGAAAAGGGGCCACTTCTTGTTTCTCCTTGCTTAAATATGAGTCTCCTTGCTATGTCACTTCCTGCCTGGATCACCACTTCTCTACTACATTTCCCAGAATCCTCTTTGACTCCTAGTCCCATCTAACTTGCTGCCTCATTGGCCAAACATAACTTTATTCAACAATCAATAAGATAAATATACACAGAAGTACTTCCCCCATCAACACCAACTAACAAACTAATCAACAGAGAAGAGGCTACCTTAAATGCCCTCCCCTGATAATGAGATTGATGACTGACTTATATGCCATCCTATAGCTTTGATCCAGTAGCTGGTGAAAGTGGAAGAAGATACCTACAGCTAAACACTGAAATGAACTGGAATCCAGTTGCAGAGAAGGAGGAGTGATGAGCAAAGTGGTCAAGACCAGGCTAGTGAAACCCACAGAAACAGCTGACCTGAACAAGGGGGAACTCTTGGTTCCCAGACTGATAGCTGGGAAACCAGCATGGGACTGATCCAGACCCCATGAACATGGTTCTCAGTGAAGAGACCTCAGAAATCTATGGGGCCTTTACTAGTAGATCAGTACTTATCCCTAGCATAGGAATAGACTTTGGGAGCCCATTCCACATACAGGGATACCCCCTGATCCTAGACACATGTAGGTGGGCCTAGGCCCTATCCCAAAGAGATGACAGACTCTGAAGATCCGCTATGGAAGGACTCACCCTCCCTGGGGAGCAGAAAGGGTATTTGTTGGGGGGGAGGTAGGGGGAGAGGAGGCAGAGGGAACTGGGGTTGATATGTAAAATAATCTTGTTTCTAATTTAAATAAAAATGGAGAGAGGAAAAAACCTAAGAAGATAAGTTATAAAGCAAGATATGTTTCTACAACTTTAAGAAAGAAGTTTAATATTTTCCAGACAAATTCTAGAAAAAAAGTCCTAAAATATGAGGTGAACAACTCAAAACAAATATAAAATAAAACCTACTCCTTTCTCTTGTGGAAAAAAAAGGCAAGTAGCCTAGCTTCATCTTATTTTAAGTACAATGAACATGGGCTCCTTAGCAAGACAAATTTAACAGTATTGAAAAGGATAGTCTTCATCCACATATTGCTTCTAGCAGGACTGTTTTAAAACTATTCATTGTCATCAAGTCAGATATTTAAGAGTTAATGTTAGGACATGGCTACCTGCAAAATAATGACTAGGCAAAGACTAGAAAATAAAATTGATTCAGATTGAAATTTTTTAATACATTGACTATCAAGACAAAAATACTCATTATTATAGCGTAGACAAAAGAAACATAGTCAATAACCAGAAACTGATGACATGTAATCATATATAAAATGATGTAAAATGAAACATAACAAAAGATACACATGGAAACTTCCTGAAGTAGGAAGTTTAAACATTCCATTTTAAAATGTCTTCAACCTGAAGACATTTTAAAAGTTACTTGACTGCAGTCTTTTAAAATACTGAGGTCCTAGAGGTATACAGAAGAGTAAGGAAATATTCATATGAATGGTACAAGAGAAATGATGGCTATTGTGTGGCGGTATTAAGACCTATTGTTGATGAAGAGATGGGAAACAGGGAGGAATGAAGTGCCTTTTTTTTTGGGGGGGGGGTTGGTACAAGAATGTAGGGTAGACATGGAAAGACTGGTAATTGAGTGGGGTTGGGATATATGCTGTAAAATTCCCAAAGAATTAAAACATGAAAATTAGTGCAAAAGGAAAGATCACTATAATATTTCCTCTAAGTTTCCATATGAACTCCTACTATCATCCCAGAACATATTCTTATGCCTCATTTTGATGGAAGAAGTAATAGATAAATATTAATGGCATATTGGTCACCTAATAGGAAGTCACACTTCCTGAAAAATCAACTCAGGCATGGATATATAAAATTTGGTCTTAACGGGGGATTGAAAATTCAGAGTACATGGGTAATCCTGACTCCATAGGTTAGTCATTATAAGTGAAAGTCACATTACCAACCTATATACAGCTTCCAAGTCTGCCTCAGTAAGCACTGTGCTAACAATTTTGTCATGTCACATGGATAGCTGATAGAATGGACAATGACAACTAAATGATGCATCGTGTCCATTTGCCTTTTGTTGATGCTTACTATGGACATTACCAAGTAATAATAAAAAGCAATACTTAAAAAATACTTGTTGCAAAAGATATAGTGTGCAATAAACCAAAATGGAATTGCTAATTGATGGACATAATGAAATTGTAACTGAAATTTGTGAAATGTTTATTAAGCTCAGCAACTTAAGTATTTTTCCATAAAACACAAGTTGAAAAACCTATTGGAAAGTGGAGCATTACTACAGTCTTACACAGGATACCAGATTATAGTATTGCCAAACCACACATAGCAGGTCCACTTGATTATCCTATACTCTCAATGTTGATGCTGAAATCAACATGGCATGCCCCAGTATAAAATAACATCTCACAAGAACCTCAACCTCAGGACAGAAAATAATCATACATTGCGGAAAAAATTAAATCACTTTCCAGCCCCAAAGTTCAGCTCTGGAATAGCTTTTCCTATAGCATATTATTGTGATGCTAATGAAGTTTCCACCTGTTTTAATAACACTACAAATTATGATGTATGCATTTTATAAAGAAATGTCCAACATCAATATTGACTATACAGTACCTGGAGAGAACCTACTGTGGCTCCGTTCATATATGTCCAGAACACCAAGGTACACCTCGGTCCCATGAGTGAGATGACGGGAGTGAGAATATCAGCCAGGTCACCAAACTTCCCATTTGAACTATCAGCATACAGGTACCAACCATCTGTGGCATTTCTAGGAAAAATGTTCATCATATACAGAAAGACAAAAGTCATAAAACATAACATAACTTGACAATGTCCATATTTTATAGTTACACAATTATTTCCTGTTAGTATATTGCTTTATGACAGTTAAGTTTTGCAACCTTCAATAGTACTGTGTTCTGAATTCATGTGCCATGTAATATCCATTGACACATGAGTATAAATTATTGCAAACATCAAACTGATCAACTCTGTAAGAGTATGATTGGTTTTGTTTTTATATAATGATTGTCGTGATTTAAGAAAAGCAGCTCGCTGGGGAAAGATTCCATGTGGCAGGGTTCAAGCAGATGGGTTTTTTATTCAGGAAAGGGTCATAAAAAGGGGAAAAGGACGGGGGCGATCAGCCTCCAGATACAGGAGTAGCAGGAGAGAGAAAAGAGGTGGAGAAAGAGAAGGGGACAGAGGGAGGGAGGGAGGGAGAGGGAGCAACAGTCAGAGAGAGGGAGAGAAAGAAAGGGAAGAGGATGGAAGGTGGGCAGGGCTCTTTTAAAGGGGTACATAGTGAATATGCACAGGTGTTGCTCTCAGTGGCTGCATCTGAGGGCATATCCTGTTAGAATCCCAAGGACAGACGAGTACAGATGCCTGAATACTAACAATGATATAAAAATATCTTGATGTACTTGTAGAAATTATCTTCAATTGGGGAAGATGTGGCCCTGAATCCCTGAAGACAATTAAAGGAGAATAAAGGCAAATACACAAACACACAGACCATGGATAAAAACAATAAAACTGGCCAGGAGCATAACTCATAGGTCTGAAAGGTTTCAGTGCAAACTTATTCCATCTTTATTAATTTAGTTAAGTTTCTTGTCAACGTATCCAATAACCTTATTGCTAATTTAAAAATGAATTTTTCTTTCCCATAACCAGGTTCAAAATAAATGGTAGAAATAATTAAATAATAATGTTATTTTCCCATAAAAGGCAAAATTTATGCTCCTATCTTTAAAAATTCCATAAAGAGAAATAAAAACACAAAAGACAGACTAGGTTATTATACAGCTGTTCGAAGCATTATATAAACAAGTGATTCTTCACATTTTGAAGAGAAGCTCTCCATAAAAAGTGTTTATTTTCTTGCCCCTTCCTACTTTACGTATAGTTCTTGATAGCATAAAATTAATCTTACTGCTTAATAAAACCATTTTCTTTGTGAGTTTTATCATCCTTTGTTTTAGAAACAAAGGTCTAACAGGGAGTAGATGGAAAGGAAGACAGATTTATTAACTCAGTGGCCACGTATTTACTGAGTGCTCTGTCTTGTCAGAAATGCCAGTGGCATCCCAAGGAACCGGAACTAGAATTGCCTGCAAAATATTTGATTTGGTTTAGCATCTGGCCTCACCTTTTACAAGGTACACAACTTTGAACAGGGTGTTTAAGTTGTCTGAACATAGGCTTTGCATTTTATTCAATAGGTAGCTAGCTTTCTTTGCGGTCTTAATAAGAACTAGAAATCAGTAAGTGGAATACCTCACCTGACCTTGCCCACTTTAGATAAGTGGTAAATAGCAGCAGTGATTCATGTTTATGTTTCTGTCATAAATTTCTTCTAATGAAGAAAGCAACTTTGTATTCTGTCTTTCAGGGGTGACAGGATTTGTGTCAGAAACATTTACTTAAAATTGATGGATTGAAGGTGTGGTCCATGAGGCACCTAAATTTATAAGTAGAGTTTCTGGGAGGTGATGGGATCCTGAGGGCTCTAGCCTCATCTGTGGAATAATTCAATTATGGATTCACAGTTTAATGAGCTCGGGGACATGATGAAACATTAATAAGTAAGGACTAGCTGGTCCAGGTGTATAGGACTAAGGGATACATTTTTTGATGGCCTTGAGTCTCTTGCTTCCTGAGTATAGTAGGACAAGCAGCTTTGATCTACCAATACCATGTTTGTGCTCCCTGTTATGCTGCTCCACCTTGACTACCATGGACTTAGAACTTTTAGATTATTCTATGATAAAATGCTATAAAGTTAAACAACCCCAGATAGCTGTTTAAATAAAAGTTCACATATTTAAAATATCATATATAGTCCATTTGTTGATAAACATGGGTAGAAAAGCATAAGGTATTCTTTTCTTGGTTGTTTCATTGCTTCTTTTGCATACCTTAATGTATATAACCACTTTCACCATATTTGAAACCATTTTTTACCATGAATTACAATATATTCCCTTAAATTGTTTATAACAGATCCTTTGTTATAGTGGAGGAAAGCTAACCAATACAGAATTTGTGAGTTAAGGCAGTTAAGAGACAAGACTATTATATGGATTTGTCTGAATTATATCTCAGTTAAAACACATTTCCAGGATTAATCCTTATATGTTTAATACCCCAGTGCACCAGCACTACCAAGAATAGAGTGTAGTTACATATATCAGGGTATATAAAAGCAATGAAACAACCAAGTAAAAAGTCCTTATGCTTTTCTACCCATGTTTATCAACAAATGAACTATGTGTGACTTATTTAATATGTGAAGTATAATTTAAACAGTTGTCTGGGGTGGTTTAACTTTGTAGCATTTTATCATAGAATAATATAAAAGTTTCTCAAGTCTTTTGTCAAACTTAGTATTACTATTAAGTTATGGCTTGAAATGACCATTCTTCTTTAAGTTATTGTTACTACTGTAAGTCAAATTCTTGACATTTCTTGCCCAGTATTATGCCTCCTTATTGGTTTACCTACTTTCATTGTTGACTCAGTCCACCTAGTATTCACATATCACCTAAAATAATCATTCATTAAGTGTAAAATGGAATTGTTATCATGTTCAGGAAGCCTTTATTTTTAAAGCCAGATAACTGCTTTTAAATGCGTAGCCTTTTAAATTCGTGGTAATGGCTCAATAAAAGACCATATAACTGAATTGCAATGGGGGGGATAAAATTTTTGAGAACAGTAAAAACATTTGTGAATGTGTATTGAGTAAAAATTAATTTAAACAATCCCACTGTGTTTCTGGCCAATGTTGCTTCGTGTGATGCCATGGAGGCCTTGGTTCTGAATATACATGTGTCCTTTGCTTATCACAACAATAGAAGGTCTTCCAAAGACATTACCATAATTCTTTTCAACACACACACACACACACACACACACACACAGAGAGAGAGAGAGAGAGAGAGAGAGAGAGAGAGAGAGAGACAAGCACCAAGACAGAGACAGAGACAGAGAGTAGGAGCTATAGCTTTCTATACTTTATCCACAAAGTCTCATTTTTATCTTATAAAGTAAACATAGTATAGTACCCAAGTTTAAAAGATCCAAGGACATTAAAAAAATCCAACTCTTGTATGAACATGCACTAATAAATAAATTTTAAAAAATCCAACTCTTTAATAAAAGTTCAAATTCTCTTAATGCTGAGCTCTTATAAGCTTTAAAAAAATAGGACAGAGAAAACATTCCTATTTCAAAATGGAAGAACCAAGGCATTGCAAGGGATAATGACACCAGAATGGAACCAGTACATATCAGGAAGTGAAATAAGCAGCAGGAAGGTAAACTAAGACAGTAATTGTCACAGAAAAGGAAGGTCATTGACATAATAAACCCAACCATGTGGCTTTTTAGTTTTTAGAACCCCTCTGTGGGAGAAATATGGAAGACTTTAGAACTTCATGCTAAGAAATACATTGCATACTGTAATCAAACTTAATTAGCTACTTTAGTATAAGCATGGAAGAAAGGAATACTACCAGGAACATGGATAGTAGACAGAAACAGAAATAGTAGCCTCTGTAGGGCTTCAGAGGCAAACAAAGAATAGACCTTTATTTGGATTTGAGCTAGGAGCTATCCATATGACATTTTGGTAGGAATATGGCTGCAGTCTTCCCTTGTTCTTAGAATTTGAGTGATGTTAAATTTAAAGACAATAAGGTAATATGTTTGAGGAAGGAAATGTGTTTGGGTTACCTTGAGTTTTCAGACAAGGAGAGAATGCAGACAAGTAAGATGCTATATTCTTTCTTATATAAATTTTATTTAAGTTAGGCTCAATCTTATTTTACATATCAATTCTTAAAGAGACTGCTGCCATTCAAGAGAAACCTGATGCTCTCTACTGAGATAACAGGAAAGTGTTCTTCAGCATCAGCACCCAGAATTTGATACATCTGTCGTCTAAGGAGGCCAGTTTACATACATCTCCATCTTGCAGAATTTGGTGAACCATTCATATACTACTGAATTTGAAGGAATAAAAGCTGAAAGACTGATGGTGTATGGAGAGCTTCTGGGGGCAATTACACTCTCTGAAGAGCAACAGAGTAAAGCTACAATGTTAAGTGCCAGGGGAGAACCCCAGCACATTGGAAATGTCAGGTACATGCGACATCCTCAAGGAGGCCATGGAAATGAAATGGAGTTAGCCTCTACCTAAATGGAAATCTGTGTGGTGCTGCAGGTCACAAGCTTGAGGGGTAGGGGCATCCAATACTTTGGGCTTTTTTTTTTTTAGAAAACTCTCATTGTACATATCAGTCCCCAAGTTCCATCTCCCTCCCATCCTCCCATGTCCCCCCAACCCCTTCCACCCACTCAAGGATAGTGAGGCCTTCCATGGGGGATCATAAAAGTCTGTCAAGTCATTTGGGGGAGGTCCCCTCTTAAGCTCAGCTGATAACATTACTAACCCCATATAAAGGATGTGGAGCTGTAGGATTTAGTGTTTTCCCTGACAGCTCCATTTTGGTGTCATAATTCTTTGCAATGCCTTGGTTTTTCCATTTGAAGTGGGAATGTTTTCTCTGGCCTTTTTTTTTTTTTCGAAGTTTATACAGAATTAGGAGAATTTGAACTTTTAAAGTGTTAGAATTTTTAAATTCCATGGATCTTTTAAACTTGGACACTATACTATACTTACATTAAAAATAAAAATGATCCGGGTGGTGGCAAAGCTCTCAGGAGGCAGAGGCAGGCAATGGCAAATCTCTGCAAGTT